CGAGTCAGCAACTTCCCCCCACAGCCCGAGCCCTCATTTCACCCCCCTCGGAAGGATGGAAGGCTGAGTCGACCTTGAGCCGGTGAGATTTGAACCGCTGAACTACAGATCACAGTCAGCTAAAGCGGCCTGCAGTACTGTACCCTAACCACTGCGCCACCTCGGCTCTTATTGACATACTTTTTTTTTATTGACATACTTTTTTTATTTTTTATTTTTATTTTATTTTTTATTGACATACTTTTTTTCGGCTCTTATTGACATACTTTTTTTCTTTATTCCTTTTCCTCTACTTTTCCCCCAAATTCCTTTTGTTTTTTTATATTTTATCTTTCGTAGAAATTTAAATGTGGTATGTGTGTGTAGGAGGTTTTTCCCAAACTTAACAATGTTAAGACGTGTGGACTTCAACTCCCACAACACTGCATTAGAGATTTGTACCCTTTTAATGTATAAAAATGACAACTTCCTGACCCTGTTTGTCTTCCACTAATCGATGTTATTTTCAATAAATTTTAGAGAGATAAAAAGGTTTCCTTAAGAACCATCTCCAGATATTCTTCCCATTCTCTTTGTTTTAGGATCCAAACGTCACAGAAGATGAGGGGACATAGATCCAAAGGAATATTTCATTTCCAAGCTTTTTTTTTAATAATACATTTTCCATTTATATCGTTTTATATGCCTGTCATCTGTAAGGTCACGGGGTAGTTTAAACATTTATTAAACAAGGAAGAAAAAAAATAACACTCAGATATTAAACGACTGCCTGCCTTTTTCTGAACTTTTTATTTTCAAATAACCCGTGACCCAACAAAAGGGCGAACGACAAAACCGCGCCCGACTAAACCGCGTCGCTGACGTCATCAACAGGGCGACAACAGCAAGCGCGGAGAAAGAAGGGTGCTTTAAATAGCGTGTCGAAAGAAAGCCGATTTAACTTGAGGTAAGGGTTAGGGTTAGGGTTAGGGTTAGGTTAAGGGTTAGGTTTAGGGTTAGGATAAGGTTAAGGGTTAGGTTTAGGGTTAGG